CTAAATAAAACTTGCCTCAACTTACAGTATTATTTGTTGTCTCTAGTCTTAAAAAAACCTTGACAATATTAGCAGAGTATTTAAGTCCTTACTCTGTCATTATGATGCCCTGTTTTGTGGTGAATGGAGTGCCAACCCAAGTTTTCCAGAATCAAGCAGGAGAAAATGCCGTTGCCAGGCTGAATGATACTCTCCTATTCCATCCTCCTGCCTCTTCTCAGACTATGCTGCTGTGCTTTGGAGGGTCACCTGAAAAAGATGCAGCTCTGGTTACACAGATTATCACTGTCTCCTCCACCCTCACACCTGCCACTTCAGTGCTGCTCCTCTCACCGTATTTAACGCTGTGCTCTTGCCTTTTAAGGGTCACTGTAGAAACCATGGGCTTCTTTTACTGTGGTACCCTGGACTCTGCTTGTAAGAGTGACTGGTTCATATGTATGGTTTGGATTTAGCTTGGTTTTGTTTGAGTAAATAAGGTGTAATCTTTGCAGGTACTGGAAAGGAATGGCTGGCATTCTAGCCACTGGTGAAAGGCGTCAGCATAATACATCATCAATATCTGCCTCTGCGAGTCACAAACAAGAGGTTGCCTTTTTACAGTCGATCCAGATCAAGAATACCACTAACCAGAACTTAAGGGTGTTTTTAATATTTGGGATCATTCAGTTAAATCGTTAACAATGTGTTGAAAATTGAGATGATCTTATGTAGGAGAAAAACTTGAGAGGAACATCAGACACTCAACTGCTGCAACGAAGAAGTCTGAAACGCTCGCGTTTTTCTCTGGACTCACTGTAGGTCTGTTCAGTCTAGTGTTTGTCTTCTCTGGAGTACAGATTGCCGTGCCGTGTTAATAAACATTCATAGCCAACTGTGCATAGTGTCTTATCATCAAATACTCACCTCTGGCAAGTTACATTTCAGAGAAAACCAGTAGTATTTCAAATACTCAAGCAAGAACAGGTAAGGTGCATGCAGCAGGCTTGATAACCCTTGTTTCAAAAGCTGGAAGTGCTTGCCCACCCCTTGCTGCAGCTGCTTCTCATGACATCTTCAGTAGCTCTTGCTTTACTGTTTACGTAGCAAAACCAAGCGTCCCTTGCTCTGCCAGCTGTCTGCTTCCTACAAACTGCATTACTACCACAGGTGTCTGTGGTGAGATGCGTGCAATGCAAGTGGATGTAGGTGCTGCACCCCCTTTCCAGCACAAGAGCAGGCCACCAGCAGCGACTGCACAGGACAGCAGCCTGGGCTGGGTTTTGTTCTGGTAACAGCCAGGCTTCTCTGCCACTGCACTGCAGCAGCCACAGGCACTTCATTAGGCAGTGAGAGACAAAGTGCTTTCAGAGCCAGGGGCTGCAGAAGTTCAAATAATTTGTGTTCTGTACCAGAAAATCTATTTGTGCCTCAAAATGCATTTGGTGTCACCAAGAATAAACCTGCACCACCTGGTATTGCTGTGAGGCCACAAGAAGCCACATTCCCTTACTTCATTCTGTGTTTCAGAATAACTCCTTCCTGCCACTTGAGCTAGGAGTGGGTTGCTTTACTGCAGCACATTTCTGATACCAGAAGGGACAACTTTCATAGTCCCGGGGGGGCTGCAAGGGACTGTGGTTTGTCTCTGCACTTTAAAATGCAGGCTCTGCCTGCCTGCCCTGGTGCAAATACCCAGCAGTGCATGCCCTCCTCCACCTGTAACGGGTTCCGTCCTCCCCCTGTGTCTGGCTTCCTACCCCTGACATCGACCTCCCAAGTCTCCCCTCACTGCA